CAACCAAACAAGTGTAATAAAAGCTACAAATCCTAAAATAAATGCAATATCCTAAAGCAATTAAACTAACATGAAGTAAATAACAGAAAATAACATGCCATGAAGATTAAATTCGCAGACAACAGAAAAAGTAAAATAACAGACAATGATTTCAACTACATAGCCCATAATGATAACTAAAATTGAAGAAGAAACTATGAAATGATTAAAGTCTGGAAACTTATAAATTTAAATCTAAAAATTGAAATTAAACAAACTGTATGTCTGGATATTGTGCAGAAACAAAAGAACAAAGGTAGAAAATGTTCATCCTATTTACATGAACAAATAACATAACTAAATCCATAAAAAGAAGAAGAACTAACCGAATCAAAAGGGCAAACCTGTTTTGAAGGCTAAGTTGCTTCCAAATGTTTAAAAATTAATCTAAATTGGAATTTACGAAAGGAAATATGAACAAAGATGAACAAACCTAGGCTAAGGCTATGAACTAATCTAGAGAATCTGGAAAATCTGGAAACTATTACTGAAATCTGGAAAATGCAGTCTGAAAGCTGAAAAAACATGCTCTGGGCAGTCTGTGTGTGTGTTGGGCAGGCCTCGAACTGTTCTCTTCTCTCTGTTTTTGTTCCCTTCGATGCTGGTAACTTCCTCCATGATCTTTGGTACTGTTCCTCGATTTTCGGCACTGTTCCTCCATGATCTAGTAATGGGATTGCAGGTCTGGCAGTTATTTAATAGTTATCCGATTTTTATTTAATCTTATCTCCAACAACCTTAAAGATAACTACCTAAAAATCCTCAATTTCCCATTTTAAATCAAACTCAAACTACCAGATCCGATCTTATCTTCTGCCACCTAAGATCCAACCTCCTTGAAAATCCGTCTGGGCCGTTAAATTGTAAGCCAGCCCAGCCCAAATCTAGCCTATTGATTTTCTTGATAATTGGGCTTTACCTTGACACGTGACCTTACCTTATTGGTTTTTTTTAGGTGTAAACAATGCCCCCCAACACTTGGTTTTATGGGAATAAAACCAAGTGTTTAAATTTTAAAGGTTAAAACCCCGATTCAGTCCCTTAACTTTCATTTTTGAAGTAAAAATACCCTCAAACTAAAAAAAGTACTAAAAAAATCCTTGAACTTTAATTTTTGGGACCAATTTCGTCCTTCCGTCGACGGAAGTGCCAGATGGCACGTTAAGTTGCCACAAAATCAATTCCTATTTGAAATCTTTAATTATGTGGAAAATAACTAATCCACGTCATTTTAATTAATTTATATATTAAAAAATTTAAAATTCCTTAAATACCCTCATCTTCATCTTCATCTTCCATCACCTCTCGTCTCTCTTTATCCTCAGATATTTCTCATCTTGCAACCCAATCAACACCGATCATCCCTCATTCCGGTCATCTATTACCACTCTAATCACCATCTACTTCTTCCCCAAACTCCTCCCTAGTAGAACTCAAATATGGCTCCTCACATAATAGATCTGATTCAAAAAATCAATTCCTCTACAAATGTATACCAGATCTGCAAAGAAAAATTGAAAAAACACAACATTTCTTCAATCAACATCAACAGTAACTATATCTGAAAATTCAAGCAATCAGAAACCACACAAAACTCTAAATCCCATTCAAGCATGACTGCAAACCAACAAAGAAACAAAACAAAAAAACCCAGGCGGGTTCGAGGAAGCCGCGGCTGGCTTCGAACGAACCCAGGCGAGCTGGGTTCGAGCGAACCCAGGCGTGCTGGGTTCGAGCGAACCCAGGCGTGCTGGGTTCGAGCGAACCCAGGCGTGCTGGGTTCGAGCCAGTAGGGGAGGGGAAAGAGAAGGAGAAAAAAAAAAGGAAAGGAAAGATAAAAAAGAAAAAAAAAAGAAAATTTTATTTATTAAATTATATTTTTATGCCAAGTCACCATATTTTTATA